AATTACAAAAAAAAAAATTTTTTTTAAAATTGTTTGAAGGCCAACACAACACGCGGTGTTCCCAAGCGGTCCCCCATCTAAGTACTAACCGCGCCCGACGCTGCTTAATTTCGGTGATCGGACGAGAACCGATGTATTCAGCGTGGTATGGTCGTTGGCAAATTTTGCTTGCCTAAAGTCTTATACATATCGTCGCCTGGGTAAAAGATTGTCGTATGTTACGCATGTACGTATGACGCTTACGACAATATTTTACCGAGGCGAGGATATGTGAATTAATATTGAATAAATGGCTAAAGCATGTGAAAGCAACAACAACTACTATCTATTTATAATATCCACATTTATGCATGTGTATGTACATACATATATGTACATACGTATGGATGCATTTGCATGTACATACAGATATTAAAGCGAAGATTTTGGCATAAATTTAAAGATATTTTACCTTAATGGCACTGCACTTTTGCAAATCAAGTGGTGTGGCAAAAAAATGTACCGAGCACACATAGGGATACTTTGGAGTTGTTTACTTAAACTACCTCCNCTGTATTTTGCTTACATTGGATCAAGTGGTGTGGCAAAATATGTACCGAGCACACATAGGGATACTTTGGAGTTGTTTATTTAAACAGAGTTACTTCTAGATTCTTCACTTCGGGAGAATTCAGAATTTCGGCTCCTTTAATAGTGAGGGAAATGAGACCATTCGAACTTCTCCGAAGACTGGTTTCGGACTATGCTTTAATGACGAAATATCTAACAGTTTTGTTATGTAAATATATTTATTTTGTTTAAAATAAAATGAAAAAAAGCTTTTTAATAAATTAAGTTATTATAAATGTTTCAAAACTGGATTTTATTTTATTTCTTCATCTCTGCACATCGATATTATTCAAAGGATCTTTTCAACGCTTGAGAAAAACGTTCAAATTTGATTATTAAACACATCAACTTGCTATTTTTTATGTAAATTTTACTCTTTTATTAAATTCCAAATATTTAAAAGAAATTCTCCCCTCTCAAAAAATGTCAATGTGGCAAAGCTATGCTTAATGTTTACTTCTGGAGAAATGTCAAAAATCTGCTTTATAATCAAAAAATAGTAGTAATGAAACTACCTTCTTTTTTGTATCATGCCCAAAACTATCAAACGTTTCAGAAAACTTTTACTGGTTTTGCGTTCTCGTACCCAAAAAACTTGCAAAGTAGGGGAAGTTGAGAGAGCAAAATGTGATAGAGAGCTACAAATTTCTGCTTGACAAATTTTTACCAGCGAAAACTTGCAAGTAAGAAAATCAGCAGATCACAAAACCATGTTTGTAAATAAACAAAAGAAAATATGGCCTTTTTGAGTTATTTATTGCAAATTGTATTATTAATGCTTGTATACAACGAAAAAGTGAGTAAATTTATTAAACACAACGTCTGTTGAGTTTATTTTTCGTTAATTTACAATTAATCTCCAGTTTGTTTACTTTAGTGTGTGCTGACTATGGTTGCCGTATGACATTTTTCGTTTGTACCATAATTTTCCTTTAAATATACCAAAAAAGATTAAAATGCAGCATGCTGAATTGTTTTCTTTGCCGAAGTTGTCGGTTTTGGTAGGTTGATTGTTGAAATGAAAATTTTATAATTTTCCCAGCACACACTGTCTCTTACGTTAGAGAAATTTGGATTTCTACATTAGATAACTAGGGTAATTCTCGAATCGTTCTCGAGTCGATGACAAAGTTAGAGAACTACATTACAATTCGATTCGAGAACCATTAGAGAAACAACGCAAATTCAAATAAATGTAAATAAGCAATATTCCAAATAAATGAATCAATAATTATTTTTAAGTTCAATTAATTCATTATTATTTTATTGCGAATACATTTAATAAAAATTTTGCAAACAAAGCGTTTTATTTAATAAAGCAAAATTGCAGTTTGAAATTCACATTCGAATCCTATTAGAGATCAACAATAGAATTCGATTAGAGAATTAAGATTTTCTCGAGTCGAGAACTATGTCCCATTTTTGTTGAGATCACTATGATTCTCGATAGTTTTTCGAGTCGTTCTCTAACGTTTGAGATTGGAGAATGTGGCTAGTTCTCCAATCATTCTCTAATCGATAACTAACCTCAATGTTTGCTGGGTTAAAGCTACATTTGTAGCTATATTTATTAAATTTTTTTGGATCAATGATAGGTGTTTGGAGGAGATTCTCTTGTTTTTGAATGCGTCACCATGTGATATCACAAATAATTAAGAGAAAAATATCTTATTCATTCCGATATAATTAATTTGTATTTTNTGTATACAACGAAAAAGTGAGTAAATTTATTAAACACAACGTCTGTTGAGTTTATTTTTCGTTAATTTACAATTAATCTCCAGTTTGTTTACTTTAGTGTGTGCTGACTATGGTTGCCGTATGACATTTTTCGTTTGTACCATAATTTTCCTTTAAATATACCAAAAAAGATTAAAATGCAGCATGCTGAATTGTTTTCTTTGCCGAAGTTGTCGGTTTTGGTAGGTTGATTGTTGAAATGAAAATTTTATAATTTTCCCAGCACACACTGTCTCTTACGTTAGAGAAATTTGGATTTCTACATTAGATAACTAGGGTAATTCTCGAATCGTTCTCGAGTCGATGACAAAGTTAGAGAACTACATTACAATTCGATTCGAGAACCATTAGAGAAACAACGCAAATTCAAATAAATGTAAATAAGCAATATTCCAAATAAATGAATCAATAATTATTTTTAAGTTCAATTAATTCATTATTATTTTATTGCGAATACATTTAATAAAAATTTTGCAAACAAAGCGTTTTATTTAATAAAGCAAAATTGCAGTTTGAAATTCACATTCGAATCCTATTAGAGATCAACAATAGAATTCGATTAGAGAATTAAGATTTTCTCGAGTCGAGAACTATGTCCCATTTTTGTTGAGATCACTATGATTCTCGATAGTTTTTCGAGTCGTTCTCTAACGTTTGAGATTGGAGAATGTGGCTAGTTCTCCAATCATTCTCTAATCGATAACTAACCTCAATGTTTGCTGGGTTAAAGCTACATTTGTAGCTATATTTATTAAATTTTTTTGGATCAATGATAGGTGTTTGGAGGAGATTCTCTTGTTTTTGAATGCGTCACCATGTGATATCACAAATAATTAAGAGAAAAATATCTTATTCATTCCGATATAATTAATTTGTATTTTAAAAAGGTTTTTCTTATCCAAAACTATTCAATTATATAAAATGCCAAATCAGGGGAAAATGTACCAAGCAGAAAATAAATTGCCAAATGAACCACCAGTGGCAACTGTGGAAGTCTAGTTCATTATATAATACTTTACACCATATAAATAAATCGGCATTTCAAACTTTGTACAGAAATTAAAGAAAAAAATTCACAACAAATTTGCATATCATTTTTAGAAAAATTTTAAGTATGCAGTTTGGTAGCTTATTAATAACAAGGTGCAAGGCCAAGAATCACGTTGATTTATGTTTTTTTTCTATTTTGCCGGCCGTGTTAATATGTATTTTTAACCGACTTCCAAAAAAGGAGGAGGTTATCAGTTCTTCGGAATATTTTTTTTTTATGTTACCGCATAACTTTGGACCACGTCAACCGATTTCGATAATTTTGCATCGGAAAGGTAGTGTCTCAGAGGTGGTCCCANATAATTATTTTTAAGTTCAATTAATTCATTATTATTTTATTGCGAATACATTTAATAAAAATTTTGCAAACAAAGCGTTTTATTTAATAAAGCAAAATTGCAGTTTGAAATTCACATTCGAATCCTATTAGAGATCAACAATAGAATTCGATTAGAGAATTAAGATTTTCTCGAGTCGAGAACTATGTCCCATTTTTGTTGAGATCACTATGATTCTCGATAGTTTTTCGAGTCGTTCTCTAACGTTTGAGATTGGAGAATGTGGCTAGTTCTCCAATCATTCTCTAATCGATAACTAACCTCAATGTTTGCTGGGTTAAAGCTACATTTGTAGCTATATTTATTAAATTTTTTTGGATCAATGATAGGTGTTTGGAGGAGATTCTCTTGTTTTTGAATGCGTCACCATGTGATATCACAAATAATTAAGAGAAAAATATCTTATTCATTCCGATATAATTAATTTGTATTTTAAAAAGGTTTTTCTTATCCAAAACTATTCAATTATATAAAATGCCAAATCAGGGGAAAATGTACCAAGCAGAAAATAAATTGCCAAATGAACCACCAGTGGCAACTGTGGAAGTCTAGTTCATTATATAATACTTTACACCATATAAATAAATCGGCATTTCAAACTTTGTACAGAAATTAAAGAAAAAAATTCACAACAAATTTGCATATCATTTTTAGAAAAATTTTAAGTATGCAGTTTGGTAGCTTATTAATAACAAGGTGCAAGGCCAAGAATCACGTTGATTTATGTTTTTTTTCTATTTTGCCGGCCGTGTTAATATGTATTTTTAACCGACTTCCAAAAAAGGAGGAGGTTATCAGTTCTTCGGAATATTTTTTTTTTATGTTACCGCATAACTTTGGACCACGTCAACCGATTTCGATAATTTTGCATCGGAAAGGTAGTGTCTCAGAGGTGGTCCCATACTAATCTGGTTAAGAGCCGATCAGTGGATCATGAGATATATATATATTTTTTTTTTATATGAGAGTTAAAGTCGGTTTTTTTTTGCTAAAAATAACTTGTCTTGCATACAAAACCATTTGTCGAAATTGTCGGAAGTGAATTGCAGAAACTGCCCGAGTAACTTTGTATGAAAGTAAATGTGAATGCAGTAATATACAGTTTTTTGTCCGAAAAAAATAGACGAGTATTACTTATACTCCATGTTATTTAGCTTGTCGCTCTTACGAAATTGCGAGTTATTTTAAAATCCAGGCAGCTCTTTAAATTTTTTTTTCATAAACGTTCTACTTTGATAAGTATTAATGCAAATGAAGTGTACAGAGATCGAAAAAAGGTTTCGAAAAATATTTATTGAGCGCAATTTTAAAAACCGATGTACATATGTATTTTTGAAAATACTACGGTGTATATCAATGTTAATATAGAGTTTCAATTAATTAAATTGTCATTTGTTTTAATATATACAATGCAGTTTTAAAATATGTTTTTAAAACTACGAACTACCTTCGTTACAAGTTCGTGCGATCGTAAACTGCAAAAATGTTAAAAATTGCAATTACCAATATATTTTCACACATTTGTGAAAGTTTTTTACATTTGATCAATAACAGCATTTTTACTATTAACTTATATTTGTTTACAAACGAACACACTCGTCAGCTTTTGGTTGATGAAGTTTTGAATGCCAAAAAAGGTCTACGCTATCCAAAGCCTTCTCAGGAGCTACTTCTCCGTCTCTCCTCATTTCTAACAATACTATCTAAAACATTTTCCAGGTTCTGTGTAGCCGCTGCCAGTTCAGTATTATCACTAAAGGAGTCCTCCACAATCTCTTTAACTTTATTTAATAGCACCTTGAAATTTATCATATCGGTGTCTCGTAAATCTACTATTTCCAAACCGCCCTCAATTTTTGGTAATGTCTCGAAGCCAATTGACATTTGGAGTGAAGCAGAGGCTCTTAGCTGATTAAACCATGTACTAAGGTCATTAACTGAAGCATCCGATTTGTTTGCATCCAAATAACTACGATTTAAATCGGCGCCATTTACTGAAAGAGCGCAGGTTAATTATTGTAATAAGAATAACGCGAAAATTTCGCATCCGCATCGGATTACTTACTCGAATGCGTTAAAGTACTGCCCTCCTCGCAAAAGTTGTCTGCTGCAATTGCGTTTCCTTGTGTTTGTGTTTTCTCAGAAATCGAACGATTCGGCGTGCTTGATGTGGGATATGAACTTAAAGACTTTGATATTTGCTAAAAGAGAAAAAGTGAGCCCAAAGTAAAGAACTAGAACACTATTTTCGCATACCGAAAATCTTCTCATTTCATTGATAATGCCAATTAAGAACTGCTGATGTGATTGTAGAAAATTAGCAATTTCTTGATTGCTGGCTACCTTTACGTATTTGATTTGTTTCTCAAGTTTCCTAAAATGACAAAAAAACAACCTATTACCGTACAATAAATAGCTATTTTAAAGAACTTGGCCCCAGAAATCGGACATAATTTGTATCTAGCATTTCGAACACGATACACGTCAATAGATGTAAGTAATTTACTTACAAATTCTGTTGTACTAGTCTGTCGATAATAGATTGTAAATGTTCAGACACATTTGAAGCAGTTGAGGCGCTAGTGGAGAGACCTGCAATGGAAGCTGAGAAAAAATAGTAAAATTAGTTGAAAATATAAAAAAGCATCACAAATTGAGTCTAGATTCCCCCATAGGGAATTATTCAACTCCACCTCACTACCAAATATGTAATATATTGTTTTTCGCTATTACTTTCAATTGTATCAGCTCTGGCATCAATATCCGTGGTTTTTGCTTCAGTGGCAAGTGTACTCTCAGTTGTTATCATTTCCACTTCCGTGTCGTCAACAATCGCAGATTCATTTGTATTGCAAAAGCCCCTCGTATCTTCTTGTGTTTGCTTTTCCATTTTAAAAATATTGCAAATTTTAGAAAAGAAATTTGATATTCGTTTTGCTGGTTCATCCTTAAAGAAAGAAAATATATAAGGGGCGTTCCATACCAAAACGGACGCTGTTCACACTTCATGTGTTTGATTTGTTTCAAATTTTTAGGGTTGATGCATGAACATAAATAATAAATAAATATGAAATTTGAGCTTGATTAATACATTTTTAAGAACTTTACAGCACAAAAACAAAGGCAAATCGATTTAATAGTTTTCCAAATATCTCGAGAACGGGGTGAGGAAAAAATTTGAAAAAAAAATCACACATACACACATCAAAATTCTATGAAAAAAAATATTTAAAAACTTTTTTTCTTAAAAAATTTTTCACATAAAAATTTTTTGATAAAAGAAAAATAGTTCTTGAAAATATGCCATCTCAATAAAAATTTAAAAAAATTACAAGAGTAGCTCGGTGTAATGCGCAATATTTAAGTATAGTATTATTGGGTGCACTCTACAATAACTTGAGTCATGATTTTTTTACACCGAAGTTGACTAAAATGAATTTAAAAAACTTACAAATTTTTTAATTTTTTTTTTAGAATTTTTTTGAGTATGCAGTTTTGTAGCCCATTAAATTTTGCAAAACTGACGCTAATTTGGTTTGAAAACGGTTTTGCGCATTTTCTTCCATAAGAAAAAAGTACAAAAAGCCGTCAGTATAAAAAAATATTAAAAATCAAGGCAATTTTGCATTAGCTTAAAACTTGAACTTTGTTATTCTAAAATTGAATGTGCTACAGGACTGCGTACTCGAAAAAGTTCTAAAAAAAATTTAAAAATTTGTAAATTTGTAATGTACTCATTTTACTCAACTTCGGTGTAAAAAAAATCATAACTCAAATTATTGTAGAGTGCACCCCATAATACTATACTTAAATATTGAGCAATACTCAGTGCTACCATTGTGATTTTTTCAATTTTTTTTGAGATGGCATATTTTTATAAAAAAATTTGTATGTGAAAAGATTTTCAAGAAAAAAAAAAATTTTTTAATATTTTTTTTTTTCATAGAGAATTTTGAATTTTTTGGCCCCGTTCTCGAGAACTATTAAAAGGATTTGTTTTGTTTTGTGATGTAAAGTTTTTAAAAATGTATTAATCAAGCTCAAATTTCATATTTATTTATCATTTATGTTTACGCATCAACCCTAAAAATTTTAACAAATCAAACACATGAAGTGTGAACCCCATCCGTTTTGGTATGGAACGCCTCATAAACATCCAATAGTTAAAGGTTAACTCCTTCAATAAAATAAATATCAAGTATTACCTCTGTGAACACTTCGTACATTCGATGCCTGGCATCATGTTTGTTTACTACATATCCGGTAGCGAAACAGGAAAAACACAGCGACAAATTATGGCACGTCCTGCATTTAAAACGAATCCCAATGATCTGGGTACAGCAAGCTGCACAAATGTTGCTGTGTATTAATTTTTCGGTGTCTTGCATACGCTTGATTAACTTTATTAGATTGGTGTAAATACTGAAACGTGTATGCTTATCATTCCATAAGTTTTTGAATTGCGGCTCGGTTAAGCCGTATGAATTTGGATACTGAAAAATAAACTTTTTATTAGTTTTACTTTTGTTTGTTCAAGATTTAGTATAACTCGATGTTGTTGTTGTTGTAATAGCAAACAGATTCCCCAAACAGTTTTTGGGGAGTGTTGCTGGAGTGACAGTCCTTGGCCAGATATAAATCTGGGTCGTTCCCGTTACGTAGACCCGACCGTCGCACAGTGGGCCGCCTCATACAAGTTAGCCGGAAAAAAATATTTTATTGCTTCAGATGCTTAGATTTGTTGTAAAAAGTCCCCATACAAAAATTTACCTTGATCAAGGATCGATTAGATGACACCAGAGGTCCTTTGATGAGGGTTTGTAGCAAAAACGGTATATTGAAGGTATCTATATATAAATACGCCACACTAAAATTTTAAACCCCCTTTTTTGAGGGCACCGTTTTCTTGAAAGGATATAACTTCCTCTAATCCAGAAATGTTAACCCCATTATACAGGGGGCGTGGCATCTGACGTACAGACTAAAATGTGAAAACTGATGTATCTATAAAACCAATCACGCTGGGGAACTGAAACTTGGCACGGATGCATAAATTGTAAATACCCTACTTACAGCGAAAAATGTTAGGTATTGGAAAAGGGGGCGTGGCACTTCCAATACAAACTGAAATTCTCATATCGCTTATCACTGGAACCGCTTATGCTAACATCCTGAATTTTGAAACAGCTACATATGGGTCTTTCCACGGAAATGTAAACAGAAAATGCAAGAAAATGAATTCAAACGGCTTTATAACTTTAAATTTCGTGTTCAGATGGCGGAAAAAGGTTTTGAAAACGCGAAACGGTGGAGAGAACTGAAAAAAAAAAATTCAAATTTAATTTAGTATGTGTTACTAGTAAAAATATTGTATGGGGAAAAATCTGTCGCATACGTTGTTTTTTTTAATAAAAAATAACCACTCCCATGATTCGCACACTTTCGCATATATGTATGTGAGCCTTAAAACCACTTCTTTTTTTTTGTCGCGTACGTTATCACCTAGTTTTGAACGGATATTTTCCACACCAAAGTTTCGAGCCTGCTTATATTTTTCTTCAACATAGTACCCTTGGGTTGCAACATAAATGTAATCTTGTTTTTCAGTAACTTCTATTTTTAAGAGATTTATGTTACTCCATAAGCGTACGAATATGTTNCCCCATACAAAAATTTACCTTGATCAAGGATCGATTAGATGACACCAGAGGTCCTTTGATGAGGGTTTGTAGCAAAAACGGTATATTGAAGGTATCTATATATAAATACGCCACACTAAAATTTTAAACCCCCTTTTTTGAGGGCACCGTTTTCTTGAAAGGATATAACTTCCTCTAATCCAGAAATGTTAACCCCATTATACAGGGGGCGTGGCATCTGACGTACAGACTAAAATGTGAAAACTGATGTATCTATAAAACCAATCACGCTGGGGAACTGAAACTTGGCACGGATGCATAAATTGTAAATACCCTACTTACAGCGAAAAATGTTAGGTATTGGAAAAGGGGGCGTGGCACTTCCAATACAAACTGAAATTCTCATATCGCTTATCACTGGAACCGCTTATGCTAACATCCTGAATTTTGAAACAGCTACATATGGGTCTTTCCACGGAAATGTAAACAGAAAATGCAAGAAAATGAATTCAAACGGCTTTATAACTTTAAATTTCGTGTTCAGATGGCGGAAAAAGGTTTTGAAAACGCGAAACGGTGGAGAGAACTGAAAAAAAAAAATTCAAATTTAATTTAGTATGTGTTACTAGTAAAAATATTGTATGGGGAAAAATCTGTCGCATACGTTGTTTTTTTTAATAAAAAATAACCACTCCCATGATTCGCACACTTTCGCATATATGTATGTGAGCCTTAAAACCACTTCTTTTTTTTTGTCGCGTACGTTATCACCTAGTTTTGAACGGATATTTTCCACACCAAAGTTTCGAGCCTGCTTATATTTTTCTTCAACATAGTACCCTTGGGTTGCAACATAAATGTAATCTTGTTTTTCAGTAACTTCTATTTTTAAGAGATTTATGTTACTCCATAAGCGTACGAATATGTTAACAATACCGTACTTATGGCGAAAAATGGGAGGTTTTGGAAAAGGGAGCGTGGCATCTCCTATACAAACCGAATTTCAAATATCGCTGATCTATGGAACCGCTTTTGCTGACGTACTTATGGCGAAAAGTGGTTTGTATTGGAAATGGGGATGTGGCACCTCCCATACAAAATGCAATTTCCATATCGCTTATCACTACAACTACTTATGATAAGGTTATGGATACGCCTACATCTACAAATCAGAAAATGGCAATAATCATTCAATTGGGAAGAATTTTCTCCCAGATTTCAAAATCGCAATGAATGATTGGTATTTTGTGGAAAGGTTTATAGAAGGATTTTTCCTCCGATAGGGGGCTCAGGGATTGAGAGCTATCCTAAAGAATCATATTTATGGTCACATTTGCTTCAACTTTTGAATACTTGGTACCCAAACGTGTGAGGCAAAGATATTGATTTTTGGCCCAGTTCTGACAAAACCCGTGTGAACACCTTCGAGGTACTTTCTTAACTTCTACCGATTTCTGATGAAGAGAGAGGAGTTTATGTAGAAGTTGGAAATATAGTTTTTAACCTTCCCAAATTAATTTTAAAGATTTACACTGTAAAGGACCCACTAATTCAAGTTTGAATTGTTTAATATATTCAATTATATTTTAATGAATATATAACTTATAACTACATATTTGTTTTTTTTTTATATATTTTTTTTTTTGAGTTATGTCTGCGAAATGTCACTGTCGGAGTGTGAACTTTCATCTGCTTCATCAGTCGCAACTATGACCATTTTTTCGTACAGACTCTGCTTGATATAATATGGAATTTGACATTGTTGCAAGGTCGTGCAAAGTCTGGCTTAAACAGTAACTAAAAGTAGGAATCCTGGAGTCTCACAAAAAATTTCAAGAAAAGTACATGACAGTACAGTGTTTACGATTGTCCAAAAAAGTTCGACTTTGTTATTTTTTGACGAAAAACGCATAATTTTTACACATTACTCCAGCTACGTCCCTCCTCACATATTAATTGTTTTTATTTCATAAAAAAGAGCATCGTTTTCTATCCCAAATGCATTCTTTTCAGCGTTCTGGTACACCACTGTGATAAACAACACGCCACATTTTAAAAATGTTTATTTGATTTGCGTAATTTTTAGAAAACAAAGTTTCAAAACATCATATTTGACATACACATAAACTACTAAAATGGGCTTTAAAACGCCTAAGTATAATTCTTTTTATGTAATTGGACATTTCTTAACAAGTTGGAATTATCAAAACATCAAAATTCCACTTAGATTTTTTTCCGGCTAATGTCGTCATATGGCCCATTGCGTTTCGCGGGAACGAGTATAACTGGATCCTAGACTGTGGTATCGAATTAGGGCCAGGTTTCAGTGCCAGTTTAAACGTAGATCGCGTAAGCTGCGTTCATATTTAACAGGTGGCTGACAAATGTTTGGCTAATTTTAGTTTAAACCAGCTAAGCTAGGGCCTTCAAAGTAAGTTTAAGCCTGTCAGATATAACCATGCACTGAAAAACTGGTCCTTAGAGTATCAATGTCCTTAGTCTAATCCCCTCCAAAAGACAAACTTAAGATTTTCAGCAGCTCTGCTACCGGGTCATTGCAAGCTGCGGGCCCATACGAACAATCGAGTCCTATCGTTACTGTGACATGGCAGCAGAAACCCCATTGCATCTCCTTTTAGAGTGCAAGAAGACAAACATAGGGGAGGGTTGTGGAAGACTACGAGTCAGTTCGTAAATGCATTAATGCAAAAAAGGCCCTTTTATTTCTAAACTATAATTGAGTACACACGGTTAAATGATGAATTTGAACCAGGTTTCGATATTAAAAATTTCTACGAGCTATATTTTATTAGTAGAAGTGTTTAGTTAAAACTGTGGTTGCATTTACGAACTGAAAGGGCTTGGTTTCATTAGAGCACCAGGTCTGGACGAGGCTTTGTGATAAGCTCTGAGGGAATAATACCCCAAGGTCACACTGTACATCTTCTATCAAATTTATTTACCTTTCTACGCGTATATTATATCAAGTAGCTTTTATATAAAAATTACCTTGGCGAAACACTGATCCATTACCAGATTTTTATTTTGACCACCATATGCATTTTCTTCCCCTATGTAACTGAAGGCTTTTATTAAGATATCTAACAAATATTCAAAGTTCTTCTTCGATATGCATCTAGTTTTTTTATCATGCAACAAGTTATAAAATTCAACACTCCATTCCAAAGTAATATAATGTTTGCAAAGCAACAGGAACATAACCTTGATTTCCAACGCCGAAATAGAGTGACGACGATTTCTGAAACAGTAGTTAGGATTTATAGGTAACTACCGTATCATGATATAAACTATTGTAAATCTTACGGGTCGAATATATTCCAAAAGAAAGTTGCTAAAACACTTGTAGCAGTTTCAATACGATATGTTGCTGATTTACTAAAATGTCCCAGAGTCTCGCAAGCATAGTAAAGATCATGAATAAATGTTGTCAATTGAAACGGTGGTACCATGAAATTGGCATCTACGTCAAGTATTTTGTATCGATCCATTAAAGCTTGTACAAGCTTATATGGTATGTCGGCAGCTAAGGTATAAAATATTAGTTAACTGCCGTTTTTTTTATGACCCACTTACTAAACAGTAGTTTTTGTATGCTCAGCACCTTAGAAGCGCAACGATAAACGGTGAATTTGTACGCAGCATGCTCATCCTGCACAAAGGATATAATACTTGATATTTTCGTGTAATCGCAAGTCCGAATTTGTTTTGGGTCTCTATAACAGCTGTCTGGCAATTCATTTGTGGATTGCGGTTGCACAAATAATGCTACTGCATTCATTCTCAAAAATGTTTTTTTGACAAAAAAATAATTTTTTTCTTGTATTCTGGATTCGTGGCTGTATCCTAGGAATTAGGGCCGCATATGCCAGGTTGTAATTCTAAGATGGTTTGTTCGGTGTAGGTTGCAAGCTGAAATCCATAAATTATTAAATTTTTACACACTCTTCGCTATAAATAAAACAAAGCTCTTCGCGGCTCCCGGTCGGTTTCAAACAAAATTGTAATTTTTAAAACGTTGTCGCGTTTGGTTGGCAGTATTGTAAAAGGTTTGCGACTTGGGTTTTGAAATTACCTTGCCAACCCCATTTTTGCACAGCATGTTCTTAAATCCACGTCTCCACCTTCTACTAATGCAGCGTTTTTGCTGCATATAAAATGCAGCATATGTTTTCGAAGAGCGTTCATGTTATAGGCTGTATTTGCTTACGCGTTAAAGCACATTTAGCGCATTTAGCTCTAAATGCTACTCTAAATGTACATTTATCCATACTAAATTCGTCACCTAAATGCAACTCCATTTTTGCATTAAGAATCTAAATGCTAAAAGCAACCCTGTGATCTTCCAAAATTTCCACGATTCGATCATGGTTTAATGAGAAAAAGTGGCCACATTGCATTTTTGAGTATACAGTGGCTAACTGCGTTTCAGTGATCGCCGATCGAGATTTCATTTATTATTTTACATTATTTGGATAAAGAAAAGTTAAGAAAATTCAATATCGATGTGATGCTGATAGAAATCTGGATCAATTTGTGATCAATTCTGTTTGTTTTGTTTCCTAATTAAGTGAGGAAATTTTAATTGACAGCACCGACAAATGAATATATACACAAACAAATGTTCGGTTATGGTTAAAACAATTCAAGTTTTTGTATTGCATTTTTGGTTTAAAATTTATCTTTTCCTTTTCAGTAGGGTTTTTTGAACATTATCTGCTGCGTGGGAATTTATCGTAATAGATACGGATCTGAATAAGCGACTAGAACACGGCCGTTTATCAAAACCATGCGATCTCGAACTCGCGTAAATGTACATTTGCTAAATGCGATAGCATGAACGATCTTCGAAAACATATGTTCGAAAGTGCTAAATGTTGCATTTTAATAGTATGTTCCTTTGAACTTCGGACTAAAACCTGTGGAACTGTCAAACTACAGTTTTACTCTCCCAAGTGAGAGTAAAAGGAGAACAGATGCAGAAGTGCACGGGAACGCAAAAAGCACTATTTTCTGTAAAAATGTCATTCGGTTTGTTTACATGTCATTGGTACAACACTGATTTGGCTGTAATATCACTAAATAATAGTCTGTTCCTTTGAACTTCGGACTAAAACCTGTGGAACTGTCAAACTACAATTTTACGCTCTCAAATGAGAGTAAAAGGAGAACAGATGCAGAAGTGCATAGGAACGCAAAAAGCACTATTTCCTGTAAAAACGTCAGACGGTTTGTTTACATGTCATTGGTACTACACTGATTTGGCTGAAATATCACTAAATAATTATTAAAATCTATACATATTCAAATATTTCGTTGTTTACTTCCATTTTTTAACAAATATAAGCTTCTTTGCTTTCACCGCTTTCTGTTTTTGTTTGCACATGTAAATCAGCTGATCGTTTGACACTTTTCATGAACTTACAGGAAAAAAATCTCCGGACTAAATCCTGTAACTTCTGACTAGGAACAGTTGCTCATTTACTCTCTCAAATGTGTTCCCACTTACAGGTTTTGTGTCAATAGGAACGACTTCCTGTAAGTTCTGACTAAATCCTGTAAACCGGACTGCTATTGGAACAGACTATAATTTAGTCTGTTCCTTTGAACTTCGGACTAAAACCTGTGGAACTGTCACATTACAATTTTACTCACTCAAGTGAGAGTAAAAGAAGAACAGATGCAGAAGTGCTCGGGAACGCAAAAAGCACTATTTCCTGTAAAAACGTCAGACGGTTTGTTTACATGTCATTGGTACTACACTGATTTGGCTGAAATATCACTAAATAATTATTAAAATCTATACATATTCAAATATTTCGTTGTTTACTTCCATTTTTTAACAAATATAAGGTTCTTTGCTTTCACCGCTTTCTGTTTTTGTTTGCACATGTAAATCAGCTGATCGTTTGACACTTTTCATGAACTTACAGGAAAAAAACTCCGGACTAAATCCTGTAACTTCTGACTAGGAACAGTTGCTCAGTTACGCTCTCAAAAGTGTTCCCACTTACAGGTTTTATGTCAATAGGAACGACTTCCTGTAAGTTCTGACTAAATCCTGTAAACCGGACTGCTATTGGAACAGACTATAAATGCAGGAAAAACGCACACAATGTTCGTGTATTCCCCGCTTAATAGCTTTGTTCCACACGCTTTTTGAGCTGTTTCTGTAATTAGAGAGTAAAAATAAGTCTCTCTCACAAGTGTCAAAACGTGCCGAGAGCGTGACGAACGCGAAATCCCACATTTCGTGCCCGGAATCAACAAATCAACTGTTTCGATTGCTTTTAGGTTCTTTCCCGTACGACCCGGGCCGGATCCGGTTGTATACACAAGTTAAATACTGGGGGCCAATTCTCGTTCTATGAAATTGTGAAGTTAAAAATTTAATGTCAGTGATAATTTAATTTGTCCACTTCATCATTTCGTTATATCATTTTAAGCCCAACTTTTTTTTCACAGCCGCAAAATTTTGTTAAAAAAGTTTTCACATTGAAAACTTTTTGACAAATGAATGGGTCGATTGTGGATGGCAACGCAACCGCAGTTGGGTTGCCGATGGGCAACGCCACTGAAATGAAAATGTATATTATGAATAGCAACTATAGGTAAGTTCTATAAAGTTGAAGGTAATACAATTTGAAAGAACCAGTAACTAAGACTTTTTTTGTAGCTACATCTTTTATTATTATTATTATGTTTATTTCAGTCTAGATAACACAAGAGTTTTGGGTACAGATAAACAAATACATTCCAAATATAATTTATACATTATTAGACAACAAATTAACAATAAAAAGAATCAAGAACGGACTTAAGATATAGATCTAGGCAAGGAAAAATCAATATCCAAAGTTTTTATTATTATACTCCTTAAGTGCTCTAAAGATTGGAGCAAAAGAAAAATAGTTCGCTTTGGCAACATCAACGTAAAGACTAATGTAAATAAGCTGAAGAAACAGTTGAAACAAGAAATCAAAATTTTTGCGCCAACCACAAAAATGCAGTTGCCAATATAGCAACTCAGTTTCCAGCCTTCAGTTGCCAGTTTCCATTTGTAATGGTTGCAATCCGTAATGGACCCATAATTTATTTCCCTTTGAAAACAGAATCGTAATTTTATGTGAAGTGATGAAAAATGTTTTAACTTCACGTTTTCACAGAACGAGAATTGGCCCACTGAAGTGGTTGTAATTAAATTTTTTAATGTATATAAAGTTTTGTAACAAGTAATTTCAAAAATATATTTCTAGGACAAGTTTTTATTAGTAGTTAATAGAAAGAGAAAAATCCAGTCACGCACTAACGGGGACAATTTTTTGTAGTAATTTCTTTCCATTTCAGTAAAATATCTTTTAAATATAAAACAAATCGACCATAAATAAGGATTCTCCCAAAATCTCGGCTCTTACGCCATCTGTCGGTCCAAATTTGTTACGAGTTACATATTCATTTTTATGTATGTAATATACGGTCCAAATATGAACTCGCACCATTAATACGAGTTTTTCAAATATCTCGACACCTGCGCCACCTAGAGGATTAACTCATTTTCCATATGGCATTGTGATGGAGTTCTGAGCTAAGTATGAAGTTTAAAATTGATTGCAAAATTTGATTACACAGGTGAAACTAAATTAAAGCTTGTAAAAATAAAATACTTACAATACATACGTTTCTTGTTTTTTGTTTTTGCCCTTGCTCTTAGTGTGACGCGTTTGGACACCAAACTGAGCAATGACCGTTGCTGGAGCTAATCTGTTCTTTTGCCAGAGTGCCAGGTCGCTAGCTCAATTTAGTGAATACCACTAATAATCCAAAACCCACTTGGATTAAAATTATTTAGGTAAAAAAATTTGCAATTATTCGGTCTTGTACACGCTTGGCTGTTGAAGATGGTGCACCTTGGCTTATATAAATGCTATCTGTTCTTGGTTCCTCTTCCTCGGGCTCATGTATTTGTTCGCCTAAACCCATATTATGCAAAACAGCGCACGCATTAACCACTTTTCCAGTGAATCCAGGATCATATAAAAGAGTCCTCTTTTGCGATAAGCATCGCCAAGTTCCCTTAAATATGCCAAAAAGTCTTTCCACTGGTTTGTGAGCTTTACACAATGCTTCGTTGTAACGGAATTGCGGACTTCCTTTGGGTTTATGTGCAAGAGGGGTCATCAGCCACGGCTCCAAAAGGTATTCAGAATCACCTATGTATATTTAAAAAAATTTTCATTTAACCATATTATATTTTGCACTTGTCAATGAGTTAAAGAACTAACCTATTAAGAACATGTTAGAGTTTCCATTTTGAAAACTTCGTTCCATAACCCTTCGCACTGCGGAGGAACTCCATATGTATGAGTTGTGGTGCGCCCCCGGATATTTTGCATTTACATTTAAAATTTTTAGGTTTGGATCACATATCTATAAGTTAAAACAGCAACTTATTTTTATTAAATTTATGATGGGCATTTTTTCTTACCATTTGCACGTTGATTGAATGGTAGCCGAAGTGGTTGACGTAACCTTCCTCATAACATTTCGGCCTCAAAATTGATATATGCGTGCAATCGATAGCTCCTATGGTACCTTCCACAAAAGATGAGAGTGAAGAAGCAAACGTTTCTTTTGCAGACTGCCGCTCAATTTGAGTCATTGGGAACCTCACTTTTGCACAAAACATAGAATAGTTGATTGCATCCGTTACTCGGTGTATACTACGGCTTACAGATGATTGACTCATGGATATTCCCCATTCCTCTCCTACGGGCCGTTGATAACAACCAGTTGCGAAGAATCGCAAAGCAGCCAAAACCTTGAGAAATAAAAGCAATGTTTAAAATTACATACTATGTACAAGTACGCATATATTTATTGTTATTTATACTTATTACCTGTTTCTCGGTCGATATCGCCGTTATTCTCGTACCTCTCAGTTGACCATCAAGCTGAGCAACAAGGTTTTCAGCCAAGTCCGGAGTTAACCGGAACAATTTCTGAAACTCTGTTGCAGCCAAATGAAAAGGATTATCCACGTCTCGAAGCAAGCGCTGCTCCACCGCTGAAGGGTTTTCTACCTCTTCGTCACGCGATAACACATAAGCTAAGTATTCAAAGGCCATTTTTTTTAATTATTTCTAGTAGTGGGCTGAATTGTAGGTACAATATTCTGTACCCAATACTTAAAAAAATGTCGGTACCCAATACTTCCTTTTAGGTACCCGATACCGATTCGATACATCAAACTTTCGCCGTAATGGGTAGTATGCATAAATATGAGCTTAACCTAACTTACAGAGAAACTCCCATTCTGATTTTCTATGGGATAACTGCCATACTATAACCTATATGGAAAATGTATACACAATTATAGTTTTACTCGGTATTTAAGCCTCTATTAGTCCCTACGTTCGGCTATTTCAAGGCGAGGATCCCCTACTTTTTGCTTTTATTTTATTAATTTGTTTTTTGGCTGTTGTGCACGTTAGAAATTTCAACATTTCGGTACCGAGTATCGAAAGTATTGGATACTTTTTAAATCGGTACCGAGTGTCGATCAATACTGGCTTTGTTTCTTTTCTTTTCTAGCAGATAGTTATCAGGAAGAAGAATGAGAAAATTGAAAGAATTTAGCTGACAGAGTAAAGATGGGCGATCTCGTGACTTTTGAGGAGCAACGTTATTTGTGACTGTGACTTTGCAGTCACAGTGATTTTCATCCGTGACTGTGACAAAAACAGTGACAAAAAAGTTGCAAACGGTAATCTTTTACCGAGTGAACTAATGCCCTTAAGGGCATTATTAATTTATTTGGCATTACTGACTATGTTCGTCGTTTGTTTTGGTCATTCCCACTCGTTTTTAATACCAAACATCGTAAATCAGATTTTAGTCTTAAATAACTGGTTGCAGTTTCTCAATGAGTAATTCCCTGCAAAAATCGCGACTACTCCATGCATGCGTGTAAAGAGTACTCCCTAAGGACCAAAGAGTACTCCAAAATTAACCACAATTCATATAAAAAATATGGTCCAATTAACATTGCGATGTCCTAGGGCAGGACCATATACTCCATCCCTGCATTACATCAGAGTAGCACAAAACTACTACAACATATTAACAATGGCATTGTTGTTATATTTTTTCGTTTGTACACGCTTTTGTTCTTCACTTCTCANATTTACCACAAACAGACTACATGGTCCAACAATTTTTGCAGGGTTGCGACTGATACTTTATCACAGTCACAGTTCGTAGCTGTTGCCGTGACTGTTACTGCTATTGTTGAAGGCGCAATCCTACTACAAAAACATCAATGCCACTGTTCCCTTGTCACAGTCTGTCAAGGTGACTTTTTGGAAGTTGTCACAGCAACTACCCGTGACTTTTGAGTAACCGTGACAAATTCACAGGTACGCAAATATCTGCCACCTCTATCACAGAGAGCGAAATAACGAAAAAGTAAAGAAACGCAAAACTAGCAGAAACTAGCAAGTAATCAGCTGATCGGTGTATTTGACTATTGAAAATAGGTTCATTCCTTATCGTTTTGGACTAAAATCTGAAAAGTGTCAAAATGCCAGAGCGTTAGCAAAATGCGCTCACTAAAAGAGAATAGCAGGAAAAGTAAAGGAACGCAAAAAACAAAATTTTTAGTCCAAAGAATGGCAACAACAAAACTAACGTCAAATAAGAATGGAAATGTATGTACAAAAAATTACCGTTAATTTAAATTCAATTGAGTTTGACACTTTTCACTTTTTTCGAGTTAAGGAACGCTTTTTGGACTAAATCTGACTACTTGGACTTTTCTGACTATTTCTGGGAGATAAGGAACGCAAATAATATTTGGCGCGAATTTTTGTTTATCCATTTTGACAGCTGCTAGTTTCCCGTATTACTCGGACTAAAACTAGTAAAACTGTCAAAAAATAAAAATTCGCTCAGAGCGAGAGAGTAACATTGAAAAGGACGGGATCGCTTTCTAGTAAAAAATGATAACTTCTGCCAACTTCAACATAACCTCAAAATTTTGGCTGTAAATTTTTGCTAATGTTGTATGTAAACACAGTCAGCTCACACATGTAAATAACCAAAAATACTTTCAAATTCATTAGAATCCACGTAAACAAGTAATTAAATACTTTTCAACATGAATTAGCAGAGTGCACTTTTCTTTTGTTTACAATTTGGTTGCCAAACACACTACAGCTGATCGTTTGACACATTTACCAGAATTTACCAGCAAAAAATTCTCGGACTAAAACTGGTAACTTCTGACAGAGAGAGAACCGTATTTACCCTCTTTTTTGTCCTCTCAAAAAAATTTTACTAGCAGAAATTAGCGGGAGAGCCAAAAAAAGAAGAGCGTAAGAACGAGAGAGAGCTGCTAGTTTATGCCAGTTTTTTGGGTTAAGAAACGCTTTCCAGCAGAAATTAGTGATAATTATCTGTTAAGAAACAAAGCTACTTGAAACTGTCGACTCAGCACATAATTAATGCGTTCCAGCACGTCCTACGATTTTACGTAGGATCTAGTCCAAAGTCGTTCCCGTACGCCAAAAATTCTGTATCTGGGAACACTCGTGAGAGTGAATGAGCGCTTTCACCGCGATCGGTTTTTGTTTACAAATGCAACCCTGCCTACCGTTTGACCAAGAATGATAGAATACAAGATTGCGCCAATGAGAGAGGATTTTTGAGCGTAATTTTTGCATGACGTCATCTTGGTGCAGTTGCGAGAGAAATGCCAAAACGCATATAAAAATATGTAAACAATGCAGAAAAATGTGTTAATTTTAATATTACATGGCCCAATTTTGCAGGAATCAATAAATATACAAAGACTGAGTAATTAGGAACACGTAGCAATAATTTTGGACATGTTGCCCTTTAGGTAAGTACGATTTTTAGCACATGAAAAAACGGATGTATTAACATTGTTTGCAATTTCATGAAGACCAAAAGGAAGGTGTGCAGCAAAGTGAATTTTTGGACTCGCCATTGTAAAAGGCAATGCAGGGTGCATATTTATATTTGTGGACGGTACCCAACCAGCATAAACTCCACAGCTTTTATTTGTGTGGCTTCTTTGAAACAAATATTCTATGTAAGTAAAACATAATTTAAGCTGAACTTTTAAATGCATAATAATTTGGGCACTGTTTTGTATTAGATACGTAACAGCGCGGTAAGATGCCGCTTGAATTAGCGCCTGGCGACCGTATCCACTGGTGCATTACCTCATACCAGCACTAAAAATATTATTTTCAATATCTTCATTAGTAAAGTGCTTCATGCACACATAGCTCGATTTGGTGTTTAATGCGAGATGCAGAACTGCTTCTAAACTAAAAAACTTATACCGCACGCTTTCCTTTTGTTTTCACTATTACACTTTGCCACGGCACACTTCATTTTGCTTTGTAATGTCTCAATAATTGTTTAAAACCACGCAGAAATATTAACGCACATATATTAAAATTGTTATTTGATTTTTTCGTATGCTCACAATCAACAATTGCACCAAGATGACGTCACGCACACAGCTGATTCTGTCAAAATCACAAAGAGCGGATTAGCGGTACCGCGATTGACGCAATCTCTATTTCTCTCAATCGTGCCGTTTGACACTTTTTATGAATTTGCCCGAAGAAAAACTCCGGACCAAGGTGAATTTATAATGTATAATGTATAAATTCGCCTTGTCGAACCAATCGAGCCATAACCGCGAAAGAAACGTAAGCCTTGAAACGCAAGCTCCAAATGTTTTTATTTGTCGCTTTTTTAATAAATATTCCATAAGTTTTCCACAAACAAATAGCTTCTTCATATCCATCATCTGGCAAACAAATACAACAATAAAATTATAGTTTAAAAACTAAAACCTCGCTATTATAATTTCCATTCGTACTGTCAGCAGGTATGTAACTTGAGAATAGAAATCGCTGCATTTTTTAGGTGCATCAATATTACATAGTTAAATCCCGAGCTAATAGAAGGGAGGTAAAAAAAGCTCAAAGTGGACCATCCATTCTAGAGTTGTGCGTAATGTGACCAACTATTTCATAGCTCAAAGAAGTACAGCTTAGGTTAGGTTAAGTTAACGCCGCGAGCCGATTACGAAATTTCGAATGCGGCTGATTTCGATCCCTGAGAGCTCAGTGTTTGTTCAGAAGTGCGAGCCGAAATGCTTCCATCTTAGCCCCGCGAAGGTTGGACAGTATAAAAGAAAGTGTGGAGATGATTCCACTTCATCTTCCTCTTGACAGCTGATACAAAAGGATCAGTTGAAATTCCTAGACTCGCCACATGAGACAAGTAACGTGTTTTAAAGTGCCCTACAAAAATATTTGCTGCAGCAGAGAAACGTCTTATTTTCCTATTTTTATGTCACAAAAGGACCCTGTTTCCCTTAGCCTAATAGCAATTCGTGCTGCAACAATTCTGTCTGCAATATCCGCAGGCGCCATGTTCGACATATGTATGTTAAGCCCCAGTGTAGGTGTGGTTCCTAATGCTCGGATAATTCTTCTTTTTCAAGTGTAGCCTTCTCTAGTGAGTTTTACCAGACAAGGGCTCCTTGAAACAATATAGGTTTAAATCTGGTTTCCTAGACCTAATGAATTAATCTTAATTTTACTGATAGCTGCCCTGCAGCAGTACAAGGCAACCGACACCTTTCCAACCCTTTCCTCAATGTTACGCTTCTACGACAGCCACCGTTTATCGGCCACCTAGTTATCTGGTTCAGGTAACCTGTAGCCAGATCGAAAAGGGTATACACCCTCGTGTCGTCCCTTAACCAAAATTTCCACATCAACTATATAGGCGATCACCCGACAGCCAACTTTTTCCAGCTCCTATTGACTCTGCACTGTGTGCATACGCTCCCCCACTCCGCCACGATAGTTCTGTCACGAAGTAAGCTGTAGATAAGCCTTATTAGGTTAGTTTCAACCCCCAGATTATGAATATACTTGACTATTGCCTCTGGAGTGACTTAATCTTCATGCCTGAACGCTTACTCTGACCACTATACCAATGTGTGCAGAGTGGTATTTGCCGACCTTTTCTTGCAATAAGCACATTGAGCTCTTGAAAGACAGTCACGGGGAATCGCGTTTCTCTTGTACAGGTCTATCAGTCTCTCTAGCGTGTTTAGCAAAAGGGTTTTTAGCAAAAACGAAGGGACTG